ACGATCCTCTGGGCTCCAAAGGGTACTGGCAGCTCCACTGCTCTGACTCTGTCATCCACAGCACAGACTCTGTCATCCACAGCACACTCAGCTCGTCTCGCAGACCCAGGCCAGCTCCATTCCACACCCGCCGCTGTCCTTGGTGGTCGTCCCACGATCCCGGCATCTCCAAAAAGCTGGGGTCGCCACTGAAACTGAGGCTGCACCCTCACCAGTGTCCTCTTCTGGCCTCTCAGGGTGAAATGCCTCAGATTCTGTCCATGACCCCTTCAATCCTGGGGTCTTTGCTGCAACTGAAGCTGTACTTTCAACTATGGCCTTTCCTGGCCTCTCAGGGTACCAAGCCTCAGCTGCTCTCTGTGACCCCTTCACGTTTTCAACACCAGAACCATGCAGCAGACTCTTAAATATTACCAAGTCCTGCTTCCAGCTTGAGATAGAGGCTTGGGTCCCCTCTGTGTGCTGCCCCTGAGGAAATACCTCCCAGAAGACTCACCACAGTGATGCTGGTCTCTTGTTACTTACAGCTGATTTTTCAGCCCCAGCTAACCAGCATCAATTGTCCCAGTAAAGCAAAGGTTTTGCTTCAGATTCTGGTCTCTTCTTAATCACAGCTGATTCTTCAACCCCAGCCGACCAGAACCCATATATTCTTAATTCAAAATCTCACATGAATAGTCCTGATAGTCTCTGCTTCCCTTTGAAACTTCACAAGCCAGGCCTCCATTGTCTACAATTCTTTCAGCATAACTGTTCCAAGCTCCACAGCAACAAACTCTGAGCATGCAATGGCTTTGCCAGCCCAAAGTACCAAAGACTTCCACATTCCTCCCCAAAACACCAAGGTCAGTTCTGTCACAGCAATATCCCACTCTCTGGTACCAATTTCTGTCCTAGTTTGTTTCTTCATTGCTGCAACAAAACACTCTGACCAGTACCAACTTGGGGAGGAAAGGGTTTATTTAGCTTACATATCCTGGGTCACAGTTCATCCAGGAGCCCAAGGTAGGAACTCAGGGCAGGAACCTGGAGGCAGGAGCTGAAACACAGGCCATGGAGGAATGCTGCTTACTGACTTGCTCCTCCGGCCCCTGCTCAGCCTGCTTTTTTATACAACACAGGCCCATCTGCCCATGGGGTGGCGCCACCCACAGTGGGATGGGCCCTCCCACATCACTCATCAAGAAGATGCCCTTCAGACATGGCCACAGGCCAGTCCAATAGAGGAAATTCCCCAACTGAGGCTCCCTCAACCCAGGTGTGTCAAGTTGATACTAAAGCTATTCAGCACAATGACTAAACAAGTTAATACAGGTAACAAGTTTAAGGACATCCCAATAAATGAAAGCTATGATGATTATAAGAGGTAATGTTGAAGACAGGGATGTACCTCAGTTGGCAGAGTGCTTGCCTACGATACATGAAGCCTTGGGTTCAATCCCCAGCACTGCATAAACTGCTATGGTGATACATACCCATACTACCAAAGGAGGATCAGGAGTTCAAGGTCAGTCTGGGCTACATAGAGTTTAGGCCAGCTGTCTGGGATACATGAAACTTAAAAAAAAGTAATAATATTGAGTTCCACCTGATGGCTGCACAGGAGTCAGTCTGGAGAAAGGGTAGGAACATTCCTCCCAGCAGAGGAACTAGCATATGCAAAGGCTCTGCTTCAGGAGATTTCCCTGTGAACCCAAGAAATGGAGCACAAAGCCAGGCATGGTGGTGTATGCCTGCAATGCCAACATTCAGGCGACTGTGTGTTCAAGGCCAACCTGGGATATGTAGTGAGACCCTGTCTCAGAAGGAAGAAATGAAAAAAGAACAGGAATGGAGGCCAAGGTGGGAGAGCATCCGCAAGTGGCTGTTTTCCCCAGGCTGATGCTGTTTTCCCACCATAGAGAAATGCTCCACCCTGGCCCGGAAAGGCAAAGCCAGAGCCCCTTTATGTTTTCTTTTCCTGAGAGGATGCCAGGCCCTAGGAAGGGGTGAGGGTAGTAGGGCACAGCCTTCTGAAGGGAGCTGAGGAGTGGAGCTGGGATTGGACAATAAAGATTTAACCAGTCAGCACAGGTTCCTGGAGGGGGATGGGCTTGGGCTAGGCAGGGCAGAGGAAAACACACTGAGCCACAATGTCCCCAGAGAGGTCCCCCTAGGCTCCTGGTTCTTGTCCAGCTTCTTGGAGCTCTGGTGGCAGCAGGGTGAGGAGGATGAGCTGAGAGCCATCAGCTGCATCATCCTCAAGTGGCACTTTCTGCTAATTGGGAACCAGCAATTGCATATTAAGTCGCTTCCTTTCCCAGCCTACCACCTTTGTTAGCAGCAGCACCAAGACAGCTGTAATTAAGAGGCGGGATCGTGTGTGTGTGTGTGTGTGTGTTTATTTGATTTTTACTTGTGTGTGTGTGTGTGTGTGTGTATGTGTGTGTGTGTTTTCTTCTCCCCATGCTGCTGTTTGGGGTATGGAGAGCAGGTGCTTTTAGTCAGCTTGGCCTGAGTTTTGTTTTATTCTGTTTTGTTTTTATAGACAGGGTCTCACTCTATGGACTAAGCTATCCTGGAACTCACTATGCAGCCCAGGCTAGCCTCAATCTCACAGCAATCTTCCTGCCTCAGCCTTTTAAGAGTCTGGCTTCTAATTCTGTATCTGCCACTTGAGAGCTATGTGGCCCTGAGCCAAGGCCTCCTGGGCTGCCCACTGCCTCATCTGTAAGCTGAGGCTGTGCTGAACCTCCTCACAAGACTCTGTCTCCCTGAAGCTCTGCATGTTACAGGCATGAATCAAATGGGTTGGGTGAAGGGCTTGGTGTTAGATGCCCAACAATGGGCCATTTCTCTTATCTCCAAGAGTCTGGGAGGCACACTCCCTTCACCTTGCCATGGGAAAGCTCTGATTAGTTTCACAAAGTTGAGCATGCCCACCCAGGAGCAGGTTCAAAGGCTGAGCCACTGGGCAGATCAGGGTGAGCCTGAGTGTTCTGATCTAATTCATGTGGGAGAACACCCTTACCTTTTTAGCTGGTCCTGGCTGACACTGAATGGCAAGGTTGGGGGGCAATGATTCCCAAAATCCAGTGCAGCTGGCGACTGCTGGAGAGCTGGGTCCAGAAATCCCCCAGTGTCTGATTCAGGAGGCCCAAGAAGGTGCTTTCCTGCTGTGTCCCCAGGGTTCTTTAAGGGAGCAAAAACCTCATTTTTTGTGTGTGTGTGTGTGTGTGTGTGTGTGTGTGTGTGTACTACCCTGTACCAGGCTCCCTAGGCCAGGAACTCAGGCAGAATGTCTACACTATCGTTTTGAGACAGAATTACTTCTTCATGGAACCTCAATTATTTATTTACTTTTATTATTATTTTATGTATAAGTGTTTTGCATGTATGTATTTAAATGTACCACCTGTGTACAATGCCATGAAGGGAGTTCAAACCCCTGAAACTGGAGTTCCAGACAGTTGTTAGCCA